AATAACGAGGAAAAACGAAAATTAATTTCCAAGAAATAACCTAAATAATGTTATCAAATTCTGGAAAATAGGCACTAACTAACTTTTTATGTTTTTGGTAACCTAGTGCTGTCTCTTTAGTTAGACTAAACTAAACTAACTAAACCAAATCTAAACTTTAAATTAAATAAAATAAAATTTAATTTATAATTAAATTTTAAGAAAATTAACCCTGGCTGTTACAAGTTCCTATCCTATCTACCAATTGATCACTTGCCTCCCCTGACCCGCCGCCTGAGGTCGGCGCAGCACGCTTCTTTTCTCCTACGCAATCGTGTTATCCATATCTGCCTATTCAACACATAAATAATGAGAGTTAATCGTTTGACAGAGACAAAGTGGAATTAAAAATGTGGAATTCATTCTAAAGTTCTAAAATAACTAATGACAAAAGATGTACTCGTGTGTAGATTGTAGGCGAACTTTCAACCTGTTTTAGAACTCAACTCTTCGGAAGCAAAACAATTGTTTAGGGTGAGCTGAATACTCAACAAGCTCAAGCTGAAATTGAAGAAGTTGCGTATGTTCAACATTTTCAAAGGAGAATTTTGTGCGTAGAAAATGTTGAACTTTCCCGTTGTCATGAGCTCACAGACGAGCGACAGTATATCGGCGATTGCTATTCAAATTAGACGAGAGTCGCCGATGCTTTGCGAATAACGCCGATGGTTGCTGACAGTCGCCGATGCGTCGCAACTCTCGAAGACGGGCAGTCGGGCAGTCACTAACATATAGTCAGAATGTCAACACACATGACAGCGAACGGCGCGAGTCGGAGACTGTTGCCGACAGTCGCTGGCAGTCGCCTATCACTATCATAAGCAGTCGCGGACATCGTGTTGCTCGTCTGTGAGCTCTCTTATACGGCATCGATTCGCAGTTGCCGGGCGACGGGTCGATACGTTGAGTAACGATGTGGGCTCCTCTAATGAGTTTTGTTTCGAGATCGCAATATCATTGAAACAAATGACAGTCGGCCATAACCGCTTGGTTAGGTACTTGCTCAGACAAAGGTAAGATATTATTCTGAAATATGGACGGCACGACGACATCGTTTGGCACTCCCTGGTTACTGCGGATTCCAACCGACTGCATAATGCACATCTTGCTAAGTTAAATATTTAACTAAGAAATATATTACAAGAAGTGATACTCGTATTATAACAGGAAAACACAATAAAATATCATCATTGTAACGATGTCACAATCGCAATAAAAAGCTCGAATGCTCTTGTAAACGAGTGAAAAGCCCACTTACCTGGAATTACACGGACTTACATGACATTACATTAGAGGTAACGTTCATAGCTGCACGCATCTTCAACTTGAAAAACTTTATCTTTTCATGATTGTAGCTGTAAATCTAATATTGTTTTATATTCTGTTATTTACATTATTTTTAAATGATGCAAGTTCTCGGTATGTGTAAATATGTAAAGATCTTGCAAAAGTTTTTAAAATGCCACCGTGACTGCTCACTTAACTACGAGTATTCATAGTATACTCGTAGATGTCTGTAGTTTATCTTAAATTATACTAAATATTGGAATACAAATAACGCGATTTCCATCAAATTGGCGGTGCACAGTAGTTTGATTTTAAAAATAGGTGGACATACGATCGAAAATCATAATTTCATCGAAACAAAAATTGTTTTGGATAGCATTTTGAATGCTGATCAACATTTGTTATTATGCATTTTTCGTAGAAACGAGCCTTTCATGCTTAAAAAAAATATGACAAAAAAATTTGTATGGAGAAAAATCGTTTTTATTTTTTTTCTGGCCACTGTTGCAAACTGTAGCGGCCAAACCTTATGTAGTCGTAAGTACCTATGGTGCCTAATATTACTACATAAAAATTTTATGCGGGCACGCGCGGCGAAGCGAGTAATGGACATGCAAAATTTTAAATATTTTTATTTATGGATTATTGATTTTAATGCACTTGAAGTAATTATTAATAGGAAAATAGACTTAGTCTAACTAGGTACAGCCCCCTATTACCTCATTTCACACTAAAACCTTTCAAACTAGAACCTAAGTTTTTAGGTACTAGGTAGCCTAAGTCGATTATTGACATTATAATATTCACTACTGGTCTACTGGTTATGGTGTAAGGTGGATTAGGTAGATATGTACCCTTTTACCTAGGTATATACCTACTTCTTGGCACGTATAATACCGACAGACATGATTAAAAAAAAGTCTTCAAGCAAAAACCCTCGACTTCAATGGTTATGAAATATATTTTTACTTTCTAAAGTAGCCCTGAATAGATCTTTATATCATTTTTACTGTCATAATCGATTACAGTAGGTAGTGGGTTCAGTAAGGGTTGAACGGTTATAGTAAACAATACATTTTTATCACTCTCTATTAAAGTTAGTCGAATAATTCTAGCATAAATGGGAATACCAGCAACCCTGTTCCACACATTATTCATCATCCATCATCATTTCCACAATGGCCGGTTGGTGGCGACCTGCATCCAGCGCCTTCCTGCTGTATGAGGTCGTCAGTCACCATGTGGGTGGACGTCTTACGCTGCGCTTTCCGGTACGTGGCCTCCACTCCAGAACCTTGCTGACCCATCGGCCGTTAGTTCTGCGTACTATGTGCCCTGCCCATTGCCACTTTAGCTTGCTAATCCGTTGGGCTATGTCAGCGACTTTAGTTCGTTTACGGATCTCCTCCTCATTTCTGATTCGATCTCGTAAAGAAACACCGAGCATAGCCCTCTCCATAGCACGCTGTGAAATTTTGAGCTTATTTATAAGGCCTATATTGAGAGGCCACGNCCCACTTACCTGGAATTACACGGACTTACATGACATTACATTAGAGGTAACGTTCATAGCTGCACGCATCTTCAACTTGAAAAACTTTATCTTTTCATGATTGTAGCTGTAAATCTAATATTGTTTTATATTCTGTTATTTACATTATTTTTAAATGATGCAAGTTCTCGGTATGTGTAAACATGTTAAGATCTTGCAAAAGTTTTTAAAATGCCACCGTGACTGCTCACTTAACTACGAGTATTCATAGTATACTCGTAGATGTCTGTAGTTTATCTTAAACTAGCTGACCCGGCGAACTTCGTACCGCCTTAGCGTAGAGATTTTCTTAATATTTTTTTCCGTAAGAACCATCCTTGGACTTCCACAAACATTAAAAAAAAAGAATTATCGAAATCGGTTCAGCCGTTCACACGTGATGCCGTGACAACGCGAAACGGGTTTCATTTTTATATATATAGATTATACTAAATATTGGAATACAAATAACGCGATTTCCATCAAATTGGCGGTGTCTCAAAGGTTCTAAGGTGGAGCTGATAAGTATTTGTACAATATCATTAATCCGCTTGCTGCGCCTACTTCGCCATATTCCAAATTACACTGGACAAAATTATATTGTAAATTATTGGCAAACCAACAGCAATAACTGCAAAGGTTTGTGACTTCGCATTTAGATACGTGAGTCCTATGAATGGGTTGGGTTTAAATGGAAAAGTAGGTATTTCTTAGTTATTTAAATTGGTAATACTACTCGTGTACGTCAAAACTAGTATGCGTATGTCTATGCTATGATCGGGTTTATTGTAATTAATTTATCATGGAAGATGAAACTTTTATAAATTCTGTATTATTTTATAGCTTTCCACTAGTAATTTGTTTGTTTACACTATGAATTAATATTTCGCAGATTATCTAGCAGCTTACGCAGATTTCATTGAATAGAAAGTTTTGCAATATCCAGATACAACCTAAGATTCTGCATAATGGACTTCAAACGACATTATTGACATTTACTTAGTTGCAACTCGCTGTTCTTATCCAAAAGATCTCTGTATTGCGATGCGACATAGGTTCTATCAAGTATTCTCTGGCTGTAGTAAGATAGCACTCGTTTGGCAATAAGTAGGTAAAATGTTGCGAGAAGGATGTTTTGAATAAGGTTTATTTCAAAATGTTGAACGAAACAACGGGATCTGTGAGGTTAACCCTCATCCTAATAAGGAATGCTGTCAACCCAAAGTATAATTTTTGAGTGTAAGTAATATAGTTTTGTAAATACTCATATTATGTATATTTTATTTAGAAGTCGACGAGCTTCTGCCTTCCTTTTCTCTACTACCGTAATTTGATGAAGATGATGGCTAGGTATATAAAATTAATTCTAACTGACACGTAGTTTACATTTTCTAATTTTCAATGTTGTGTTACTTACCTAATTTTCTTATATGTATTTTTGTTAAAATAAACACCAGTAAATTGCTTTTCCTCAGAAGCCTATGTTCACTGGCATTTTATCTATCTCTGAAGCCTAACCATGTCGAGGCATGTCTTTGTTTACGCTATTATGATGCATTGTTGCGACTCTAAAGAATGGGGTCTCTGTGAATAAAATATCCAGAAGCACACACCCGCTGCATCGCCTCATTTCTGTACAGTCCTGCCTGGTTAGAACTGAGCAATTTTGACCTTTAACACCACAGGTCTAAGGGAAGGATTTTCAGCAGGCTTTCCGAGGCTCACTGTATACCCCCGAGTGTATTCTTTTATGTTCCTACGGGACTATTTCTCAGTTAGACGGCTACATGCAGCAGTAGACGACGGCGGATGTCATTTGTTTTACAATTTTGTGATTTGCTTTCAAAGGGAATTCATTTGTTTCAAAGAAGCGAAACTAAAGTTGCGGTTTGGTAAACTGCAGACTGTTTTGTAACTGAAGTTCAGTAGTTTTCCTGGATTACTTACTGTCGGTAACTAAATTTCGAATATGTCAATGGTTACCAGAGTTACATAAAAGTTCTTACCTATTTGCTCTAAGTGTTTTAACGAAGGAAGGTGTTTTAAGTAAGGTTTTGAAGGAAGTAAATAAAATATTACAATAAAACACATACTTGTCTTTATAGTACAGAATTTATTTTAATAATAATATTATATATTCAGATATAACAGCAATTGTCTCCATTTCAAACACGCTCTCATCTCTCCAACAATATTTACAATTTTCACGGAACATAATCCATATTAATTACACAATAACTTGAATTTAGGCACAGCTACGCCAATACTTTTCTCAAGTATTGTAATACAACAACTAAACATCAAATTATATAACGTTCCAAAAAAACCGGTATAATTTCTTAGGTCCTTTCGCATTTTTTTTACTAGCTTTAAAATAAAATCTATAATTGTGTGCCATATCAGATTATTTGTAATTAATATGAAAACGTTCCGATGCCTTTCCTGGTCCTCACACATTCATTAATTTCAATTCTATTTTATTCTAAAATACATTTACAAAACTTCCTCGGCGCGTCATCACATGGCGGCCTTGAATTATATTTATTACACTGATTTGCTAAGATCCAAAGCAATTTACAATTTATTTGTAAACGCGTGATGTTCACGCGTAAAATTTAGGAGAAAATCTACAGACTTTTTTTTACTGTTCTAGAAGTGGTTTATATGCGCTTATTTTAAAGATAAGTTAATTTATAGCGCAGAATATGATGTTTTTGTGTTTCATGGCCTTTTAGAACCTTTAATAAAGCAGATAGATAACAATCCCTCACAAAATCGATTAAAGCTATTTAATATTAACAACAACTCCATCGATGTGATTTTGCAATCGACAGAGGGACCTGACTTTAGACATTCGATACTTAAGTAAGCAATAAATAGGCCTTGAGTAGGCAGTTAATTATAAACATTATAAATGATTACAGTATCTATTGTAATATTATTGCGATCGCCGAGTACCAGCGGTGGAATAAATAATGCAGTGCAACTCGTGCACTTTAAATTACAATTTCTGTATCACATAACATAATAAGAGATTAAATTATGACTTATTTAATATTATTATAAATAATGACATCCGTAATATTAATATGGCAACAAAATACATTTACTAGCTAAGCACCTAAACCAGAAGGTAGACGCGGTATTTACACGCTGTACACGCCCTTACAACACGGTATCACTGTCGTATATCGTTACACTTTCTAACTATAAATTATTGCCAATCAGCTATTAGGTATTAACAACATTTAAAGTATCTTCAAATGATATAATATCTATTATTATGACAATCAATTTAGTGTTCACCACAATTTCATAAATGCAGAAGTATTGTAAAGCTTCCGTTACAATGTATATTCTTTGCTAATCTAAATAGAATACCAAAAATATTTACAAAATGAAGACAACACGATATGCACTGTACATTTAAACGTCAAAACGGTTGCCGTCGTGAATTTGAGATTCAGAGGTTGCACCGCGCAGTTTCACAAGCATAAACTTTCGGCAACTTTGACGGTTGAGACTAGCTACTGTAATTGTGCTCCGAGCTTCTACTCACTCGAACAGCGTCAAGCTAAAAATTCAACGGATCACTTGTCTTTTAAGTTATCAGACTAAGTTACTACTAACGTTTCAGCAGTTCGCACTTCGCACTCGCACAATCACTTCGTCACTTCACGCGCACTGATATGGGGGATTCTTACGTCTCGCGGGGTGAGCTTAGGTCAAGCGCTGGCGGACGCTCAGTAAGGCTGCACCGATTACTATGGGGATCAGGGGCTGCGTCGCTATAGCTGATGATGTCTTCGGCGTCGAGGAATGCGTGTTTTCTTCGCCGACCATTGTTCTGACGCCTGTTGAAGGAAGAATTTTATTATTAATTAGCTTATTTTGAAGAGACCTAAAGAAATTACGAAAACTCTACAAAATTCAAAACTCTCTTTAATCGAGTCTCATAAAACTTATTCAAATCTTTTATCAAGTTTTTTTTATTTAACTTTAGTGTGTTTTAGGAAAGACCGTTTTATTACATCCGTAATCAATAACCATGTAAAGGAAATTTTGCCTTGGCGTTTAAGCGTAACTGAAAAAATTCATGAAATTAATTGGTTCATTGCACTTACCATCCCCTTCGATCCCCGATCCCTCCTCGCCAGATCCCTCATCATCGTATGTGTCGTCGTTGTCGCCATAGCGGCCGGAGCCGGAGCCCTCCAAACCAGCTTCGTCTCCTTGCATGAACGCCTCCGCCGCCGGGATTCCAGCCGTCTTCGAGTGGGTGACGAGCAGCTGTGGAAGAAAGCTACGTTAATACTGGCCAGTTAACTAATGTAGGATAAATAGTAATCAAATGTTTTTGTTTTTGGAACGTCATAGATGAATAATAAAAAAACAGTGGCCGTAGTGGCCACTGTTTTTTACCTATGCTGGCCAACTAGTGAATGTCATAAAAACAATTAAAAAAACATAGATTGAGCTGAGACTGGCCAGCTACAGGGATAAAAATATTACGATTGTGGTTTGTTTCTTTTTGTCGAAAAACCACTGGTTGATACTGGCCAGTATTTTTTGTTAAAAATAGTTTTGTTTTGGCCAATAATAATATAATTTGCATGTCCAGACCGTCATAGAAAAAAAGCGTTGTCTAGTAGAACTATTCGTCTCTTACTAAGGTCTCAACATTTTTTATTTGTCTAAATTTCACGGTCATACCTAAGGAGGAACGAAAACTTTGCTTTTATTAAAGGTCAACAAGGTAGAAAATAATATCGACATACCTGTCGTGCCTGCCTCAGTCGCTCTCCCAAGGCGGCAACTTTGGAGTCTTCAGGCGTCCCACTCATCTCGGGATTGTATTTTTGGTCGCTTAGCGATGCGGATGCCACTAAGGGTTTCGTATACCTAAACAAACAGAATCATATTGTGAGATAATAAAGATTTTATTAAGAATATTGTTAGTCACTTGTTTTGTAAGTAAAATCTTCCACTGTAGGAGCTGGGAATTTTACGAGATAACGGGTTAAACCAAAACTCTTCTTATATCAACTGAGTAGTTGTTCATAAACACTTGTAGGTAATTATTAGTCACGTACTTACTCATTTAATTCCGATTAATTATAGTAAGATATTTCTTTAAATGTCTTTCTTTTTACTCGAAAAGTTTAACAGATTTAGATAAAATTTTATTATATCTCAGAATTAGCAGAAATAGAATACTTAGAATAGAAAAAGTTCTAAAAAGTATTGGAACAACTATCTGATACTGAACAATAGAAAAAGAAAAAGAACACAAAAAGTTTCAGAAAGTTTTTATCTGTTTCCTAAACCGTTTACATTTCGATATTTGGCAAAAATAAAATTGGGGAAGAAACTTTCGAACATAACTCGAAATTATGTAACTCTTTATAAGTAGGTAGGTATTACTTCGTCTAGATTTATGAATTGCCTCATTTTCCCCGCCTGACTAAAGATTATCCATATTGAGGGAGTTGTTATATGTTCCGCCATTTTATGGCGCGGCCATCTTGGACCGATTTTCATCAAACATAGCTAAGACACTCCCGACTCCCGAAAAAACACAAAACCTAAATCGGTTCACCCGTTCGGGAGCTATGATGCCACAGACAGACACACACACACAGACACACAGAACTTATAACACCCCGTCGTTTTTTCGTCGGGGGTTAAAAATAAACGAATAAAATAAAACACTCACTCTCCAATCGTCTCCCCGTTCCAGCACTGGTCGTTGCCTTCAAACTGGAAGTCTGGCTCATCGCACAGCCTGTCAGCCAGTCGTGCAAAGAGTTTCTTGTTCCTGGCCAATGAGGCTGCGAACTGCAGCAGTTCGGTGTACGGAGGAGGCGCCCTCAGGGCCTCCCGACGGGTTGGGGGCAGGTGGGGACTGCTGGACGCGGGGAGTTCGAAGGTCGAGGGCGTACCGCATTCTTGGCGTACCTGTGGATAAAAGGCCTAGATGAGGCAATATGTTGAGGGTGTTTTTTTTCGCTTAAGAAACAAGGTCTATTCAGTATGTTAAATTAATATTGATAGGATATAAAATAGGCGGTTAAAGATGCTTGGCCTCTACCCGGCTAAAAGATTAGTAGGTATCACAGTAGATTGTATTACATAGTATGATGTGACCTGGATCAAAATGATTTTTGCCAGAGAAATAAAGATTAAGACTTTGGTTGTCACACAACAGTTACCTAGTTAAAGGTCTCAAAACTTTTTCGTCATTTCGCATACCATTATCAGAAAAATCCGCTTTAAAAACGCTCCTTAAATACCGGAACCGGGGTAAAAATGAAGTTAAAGTGATTCATCTGTAAGTTTCGGTTTGCCTTGTTATTTTTAATTCGCTGCGCTTGCATCCGCTCAGCTGTTGCAATTTTGCAAATTGGTAATTGAGCAATGTTACTTAAATTCCGCTGCAACATTATTATTGCAACTTTAGTTAGTTTTATTTACCTACGTTGGCCTGCTTTTAAACACAAGTATAAACATCATTAATAAACAAGCTATGCATTTCACACTTCTAAATGTAAATTAAGCAGTTTATAAACTCGCTACTGACTTATACGACGGTCTTAAAATATTGAGGAAATGGGCAACCGAAACCGAAATCGACAAGTGCGCCTAGTACGCACGGCGTGCTCACGTCAGAGAGGGTAATATGAGAAATTACAATAATTTCAGCATAATATGACAATCTACGAGCAAACAGGTTTCGGGTGTGTGACCGAGTGTGAATGCGCACTCGACTGACTGAGCGAAACGCTCGCGAGCCGCTAAAGATAAGGTATGCTTGGGCGAGTGAGCGATTAAACTACTCGAGTGACATGACAGTACATGAGCCTGGGATGTTATAATGTCTATCCTACAAATTACTTACAATTGGAGGTAGACTTTTTGAGATAATCTTAGCTGAAGAATATTGATATTTGCTTAAACTTCTAGACCTCTACATTTTTGGATGCGAGAAGACCTGTTTTTAAAAGTTCATGCAAAGGAAGCATTTGATCTGGAAAAGAGCCTTAAATCAGCGAGCATATTTTGAAGTTTTGACAGTCTCTACCAACCACAATTCAAAAATATTGATAAGTAGAGCTTCTCTTGCAAATTACGTTATATTCTGTAACAAGTTGCTGCTGCATTCCCGCTCAGTCAGTACCCACTAATGGCAACACAGGAGATGCGATCACCGCCCCAGAGATGAAGATAAATGATGCCTCCAATGCCCGTGTCGTTTGTCAGGGACGTATCGCCGTCATCGGAAGGCCAACGGACGAATCATTAGAAAATGGGGGACAGGATCTGCGTAGGTAAGGTAATGGTGCAGCATTAACGAGATGTTGTTTTCTTTGTTAGTGAGTGCTTTGAAGTCCCCGACTCGAAATGAAGATGACATTTCACATAAAAAATACAGTTTAAACCGGATTGATATGATGCAATAATATAAACCCATCAAATCATATTTAATTAAACTCTACCTTTTATTAGCCTACTTCCACTTTTTCGCAGTTTTATTATCTTGGATCACTCTGGAATATCATTAGAATCCCCAGCAAAGAAACTGCTCTGAACTGAGTTAAATATTATATTACACGCGTGGTGCAATTTTAACCACTTTCTCTCAGTACACACATTGTGCCTAGCTGCAAACACATTTTTATCTATAAATACCAACAACGACCCATTGCTCGACAACTCGTCACAACGCAATGGAATTCGCGCGCGGAAATAACGCAGCGCGTGCGCCGTGTGAACGCCCGCGGCGACGCGCGCGCCGCGCAAATAAACGTCGCGCGACGCAAATAGGCGCATAGTTTTTGATACATCGCGACCGGTTGATATTTGCTTGCAACTAAGAGCCACAGTAGACATGCTACGAGTACTTTTAGCATCGGCGATCGGCGATTTTGCGACTCTATCGATGCAGCATCGCGATTTCGCGACTTCATGCTTCGGACACGAATCTTCGTATAGGAATCGCGCTTTTTAGCGACTGTTTTCGTTGCGTCGAGCTTCCGAAAAGCGACTCAATCGCCACGTTTAGCGTTGTGTGGGGTTTGGAATGTGTGGTCAGGTTCTAAAAAGCGGCTACATCGCAGATACTAAAAGGAGCATTTGTGCTGCGGCTCTAATGCCGTACTTTGTCGATCTGGCTTATTTATAGTGCACTGTGTGAATTACGAACGAAATGGTTCTAAAACGTTTATCTATAGAATCTAGTAAATAGATCGTTATCGAACCCAGAGGGCAAATAAATGAAAGATTATAATATTAGCAGCTTATAAAAGCGCCTGGAATATGTACACACGGTAAAATTACAATACACCAGGTGCTGTAGGTAAAATTAAAAAGCTCTTCTGATAATATAATTATTTCATACTTAATATGGTGCGTTACGTAATTACCAGCTATTGTCGATGCAAATCAAAAACATGAGATTATTAAAAGTAAGTAAAACACACCAAGAAATACATATTTTCATACAAAAGCTCCTTGCTGGATATAAGCATATCCAAATATTAAACAATTTACTTATGGTTAAGCAGAATTATAAACCCAACCAACTATGTAACACGAGTCACTTTAGGCAGATATTAATATAATATTTTACTTTTCGTAATAATAATGGAGAAAAGATAAACCGCATAATAATCCTTCCTGACAAAGCAGCAACAAATGGAAATTTAATACAAAATAGCGAAGAGAATAAAATTTATAATCCTCGCCACTGATTTTAACGTGAATAAACCCAGAGAATTAAGCAATGTGCACCACCAAGAAAAGATTCAGTTTCAGCAAAAATATAATGCTACATAGTAAGTTTAACGAAAAAGGAACTACGAGTAGACCCCGGTTGAGAAAGTTTTATAACCTCAGTGACATCTTCTGTCACCGCAGTTCGGGTAATGTTGACTCCATTTCAGTTTATTAATGGAATATTGATGATGTTATCACAAAAAGTACCAAATACGAAACCTTCACACTCGTATTTGATTTGTATTTGGAGTTTGATAAAGAAAGAAAGAAAACATTTAAGTAACACAGTTAATAAGGTTTCAATAAATATGTAAAAAGTAGAGTTGCAATTTTTCTTTGATAATATTATTTCTGAAAGCTATTTTAAAATGCAGCCATGCTGGGTTAATATTTAGATTTAAATGTTTTCTGTTTACATTAATGAAAGATCGTTGATTTTGAATGTTTCGTTAAGAGATGGATGCAAAGCCAAATAAGATTAAAGTAAAAAGGTATTCATTACTCCGTTGCGAATGTTTCTCACTTTGAAGTTAATATTTAGCATAAAAAGATAAAATGCGGTATAAATGTAGAGCGACTGAACTTTCTTGGTTTACAACAATAATTAAAATTATTAAAATGAAAACCAATGTTACAAGTATAAGAACTGATGTATAATATAACATCTACAAGGGGGCGTGGGGTGCGTTTAGGCAACTGGAATTGAATTTTGCCTATGACACTTTAGTGAATTTGACCTATATTTAAATTCATAGTTACTTATTGGAAAACTTGAATACTTATTCTACTCCATTTCGACAACAACCAAATACTTAAACAAAAAACAAGTGCCACAAATCAAGAAACAAAAACCGAGCACATAATTAACTAATTATTCAAACAAAAAGTTGTACAAGAAGGAACGAGAAATACATCTCAATCTCATTTGCTAGACGTGTAGATACCATGTAGTAAATTAAGATAAGTGTAGGATATAAAAGGTATCATTAATACAATAAATATTCATTACTGCGTTTGTATGGACCCACGCCGCATTTGGACGACAAAAAGGTTCTAATAAAAAAGAGTCTGGCTGTAAGTATACATATATGTACATAGCATATTGAAACTCGTTGTTTGCGAGAAGATTGTAATTACACAAGAGTATTTTTGCATGTAGCAGTAGTTAGTTATCAGGTATAGGGAGGTTTTGGTAGTCTACTTTTTTAAGTGGACATTTTAGAGTTGAACATCATTACATACTTAGTTCCGTGATAAACAATCAATGTTAAGGAGGAGATAAAGTGCTAGAGTACTTACTGGAAAAACTAATTACTTTTGATAAGAGTTAACTGTATCGAAAAACGAAAAAAAAACGAATGTGGGAAGAGTTTCCAAAAGCAAATATTTATAATATTTTGGATTATTTAGGCTATAGGAATCCTAAAAATTGGCTTAGTCTAAATGTCGTGTTTGTGAAAATAATATTTTGAAATAAAAAATAGACCCACCCTGTATAAAACCGCCGCTGGCAATACGGTATGGATTAGCAGGATTATCACCGTAATGGGTCGAGTTGATTCCTCTGCAATTAATGTCCCTGTACCATTTTTCACTGACACCTATAAAGGTTCAAGAACGAAAGTAGCTTTGCACAATTTAATTTTATTCTCGCGATACAAATAGCGGTCGTAGAATTTAATTGCAACCATTTAAAGTTTCCAAAGATTTAATATCATTACTGGACTACCAGCTGTGCTGTGAACTACGAATTACGTTAGGTTTTATTGCACTGCGCATTATTTACTTTAACGTTAATGTTTTTTACTAATACGAGTATTAATAAGCTGTAGAGTTTGTTTGGTAAAGCGTTAATATCAGGAACTACTGGTCCGATTATTTGAAAAAGAAAATAGTTTTGTGTTGGATAGCCCATTTATCGAGAGGAAGGCTGATGGCATATATCTATGGCACTGCCAACACGCTACGACCAATAGGAGCTGAGCATGAATGAAAAATGTTGCGAACTACTAGTATTTTCACACGTACAAAGTCGCCGGCACAGCTAGTACTCGTATATAGTATATATATATAGTATTCCTAAATTGAGCCACTTGTTTGTTTGTATCTGTGTGGGTAAGATGGATTACAGGACGCCGGCAGTTGATCCGTATCTCCTAATTTGATTAACACATCGATAAGAC